AAAAAAAAAGAATAAGAAGGGCCCTAGTGCAAAATTATATAATTGGATATCCAGTGACCCTATATCACACTCGCAGATTTCATATGCAGAAATTTCGTGCATCATAATCACATTTGACATTAGTTAGGAGAAGTCAAGGGAGTTTTTTTTGCTTTTATGTGGTCTTTATCATGAACCCTTCTCACCCTGCACCCTTCTCATCACGCCGCATGTTCTTGCATAAATTAAGGGCAGACTGGAAGCCACAACCTCGAAAAACTAGAGAATTGCTTTACAAATATCGACGACAATAGCAATATTGAAACTAACCGAGCAAGAGAAAGCTCTTAAGCAAATTCGTCTGATTAACAAAATGTGCTTGTCCGTAACCAACAGTCCACCATTTCGTAATAGCCAACATCATGTCGGTTGCTTCAGCGGATTTTGGGTTGGCGAGAGGTGTATACAATAGCGAATATTACAAAGTTCGTGGCGAGGACTTTTTACCATTGAGGTAAATTACCAGCTTTTTCTCGCATTGACGAAAGACTTTATTTTAGATGGCTGGCTCCCGAGTGTATCTCAAAAGGTGTATTCTCGTCTAAAAGCGATGTATGGGCGTTTGGTATCTTGATGTACGAAATCGTAGGGATGGGACAAAAACCATATCATAACATGGACAACAACCAGGTACGATGAAAACCTACATTAGTAATGGCTTGGAGGTTTATACTATCTGCCGTAGGTTCTTGTCCATGTGAAAAATGGTGGGACTCCGGCAAAACCCGCATATTGCCCTGACCAGCTGTAAGTATTTGACTTCAGTTGCTTGCCGGATAATACAATTAAATGCTGACAGGTACAAAATCATGCAATTGTGCTGGGCGTACGAAAAAGAACAACGTCCTACTTTTGCTGATATCTTGACAATGTTCGAGAAGCTTCGTGACAAGAGCGAATTCCAGGTTAGTTGATGTAAATTTGCATAGCAGGTTCGATGGTGCGGTCGGCGAATTAGGGTTTTTTTTAAGATAG